AACAACTCTGAGCTATTAGTTAAGTTCTCCCCAAGCGAGCTCGATGGGCCGAATGGCCTCCTCTCGTTTGTATAGTTCTTATGTTCTTATGTTTCCAGGATAGACTCTGGACCCCTGTGACCCTGCATAGGAGGGGGGGGGTATATGGAGCCTGGGTGTATGGATGGATAAGTGTTAAAATTGGGGCATGTCGATAGAAGAAGGTTTAAGCACATAATTTAGTGTCTAAATCTGATGCTTGTTACAATCTGAAGTGAAAGTTCCTTTTTGCATTAAGATGCATGTTCAAATTAACAGAAAGAAGAGAACTTGTTTCCTAATGTTGGGTTTTAGTTGTTGTGCCGCGTTGATGGTGTGAAATTACTGACGAGAAACGGTCTGACCAGGAATTCAGGGTTTCTGCAAAGACCTGCTGGAAGTAGCCGACATCCTGGAGAAGGCGACGCAGAGCGTGCCCAAGGAGGAGGTGAAGGAGGACAACCCCCACCTGAAGAACCTCTACGACGGGCTGGTGATGACAGAGATGCAGATCCAGAAGGTGTTCACCAAGCACGGCTTGATCAAACTCAGCCCCGAAGGGCAAAAGTTTGACCCGTACGAACACGAAGCGCTTTTCCACGCCCCGCTAGAGGGCAAGGAGCCGGGCACGGTTGCCATAGTCACCAAGGTGGGCTACAAGCTGCACGGGCGCACTCTGAGGCCAGCTCTGGTGGGAGTGGCCAAAGCTCCATAGCATGTTCCCAGATGAAGGTGACAGGTCTCTGTGGGTAAGGCTGGCGTTCTGCCTGGTGCCTGCAGGTCGGAAATCCAACAGCTGAATGATGTTTTTCTGGACTTCAAGCACAACCTGTCATCACTGTATTATGTTTTTTCTGAACGTCACAGGGTCTACAGAGATCTGTAGGTAACATTTTCCAGACATGTATATACATATAATTGTAACTTACATAATTGTAAGTGAAATTTTAGCCCGTTCGTCACCTTTTCCGTATGTACGCAGCTGGCTGAGTTGTGTGGACCAGGATAAAGACCGTTGACCATATAAACAGGCCACTGTCAGCAAGCCCCAGCATGGAGGCGTGCAGGAAATGTGACGGCGTATCTTTATCTTTCAGGCTAACCCCGTTTTTGTCTAATAAAATGTGAGGAAAAGCCGAAAACTGCTTCTGTAGAGGGATGTGATAAAAAGTCATTCAGACCTGTTCTGTCGGGGAAACACCTATGGGAATTCCCAGTTTGTATTCATTGTAAGCAGAGACTGAAAATACTAACTGAAATTGATTGATTAATTGAAGTATGTCTGTTGGAAACTGTAAATCGTTTTTTTCTGTTATAAAGTACATATTTAAATTCCCTACCAGAGGTTACAGCATGTCTGTGTATTATCTAACCCCCAGAGTCTTTAATGAGGGAATGTCAGGACCAGGGTACTCGATATATACACAGATGAGCCAAAATATTAAGACCGCCTCCACGTGAAGTGAATAATGTTGATTGTGTCATTAAGTGTGTGTGAAGGTCTGGGATATATTAGACAGTGTCCTAATATTCAGTACTTTTAGTTGACGTTGAATGCGGAAGACATGATCTGAGTGACTATGATATGGGTCAAATTGTTGCAGGTAAACAGATGGATCCGAGCTTCTCTGAAACGGCAAGGAATGGGGGGTGCTCACGGTCAGGCGGGGTGAGTATGTACTAAGAGTGGTGTGAGACCACGATCCGCCGACGGGGTGTGGAGTGGTCACTCGTCAGTGTGGGATGTGAACGAAGGCTATCCTGTGTGGGACCACTGAGGCACAGATGGCAAATAATTTTGATAAAGGTCACGTGAGTGATGTCACAACACACAGTGTCGCCACAGACCAATCAGAGCGCCTATGCTGAGCCCCGCCTACCATCAAAAGCACCGACGATGGGCACGAATGCATTGGAACTGAACCTTGGCGCAATGGAAGAAGGTCGCCTGGTCTGATGAATCCCATTTTCTGCTGCATCATGAACAGCCGGTTATGTGTCAAGCGTCTGTGGGATGCGTCGGACTGACAAGTCCGAGTCACAGCTATGCAGCCCTTCATCAAAATGATCTGCCATTTGTGCCTCAGTGGTACCACACAGGATAGCCTTTGCTCGCATCCTACATTGACGAGTCTTAGCCGCTGGACCCCCGTCGCTGACTGTGGCTTCTCTCCCCCCCACACCACTCTCAGCAGGTACTCACCCAGGC